ATTTCTATGATCCCTTCTGATTATGGCCTGCCTTATTAAAAAAAACCTGTGGGATCACAAAAATGTTAATGAGCTAGCGCGCAGAAATCCAACAATTTGGTGGAATGTACCCTCAAAAGTAATGTCAAAATTTTGTACAAAAAATCAGTAGCCCCGACTATTCATCCGATGATCGAAAGTCATCAGCGATATTTCCCCCCAAAAAAGTGGTGAAGAGCTTCCATCAACCAATTCACGCTTTCAACTCATCAAAAGTAATAAAAATAACGCGATTTCCAAGAGCAAATTTAGTTGGTAACCCGTTTATTTTTCCTCAAAGCGGACCTTTGTTTTCTGGAGCAAACATGGCATTTGTAGCAACCATCAACATTGTAACTCTTATCCACCATGTGTGAAATCTCAATGCATTTATGCAAACGGTAGTGTGACCGACATTTATAAATGAAAATGTACCGTAGTCCCTAGCATGCATCTGCAGTAAGCAAATAATATGTAAAATCTTTCGACATTAATTATATTTTGTGCAATATACATTTCTACATCCGCTATACATGTATTTTGATACAACAGTGTACTTTTACAATCCTACGCTACTTTATGAATAACATACATGTATAATGCACTTCGGTATTAATTAACACTTTGAATAACCCATTAAACGCATGATTACATATAGAACTTGTGTTGCACTGTTGTGTTTTAACACAACTAAAAAAAATAACAACATAGATTTATTTCAATAATTACATGTATTATGTATGTACTTATAGACATTAAAACCAAAATAAAAATTAACAAAAAATAATAAAACTGCCTCAGGGAGGCACGGTGTCGAACCAGAATTTACAACAAAAGACAAAGTAAAAATTTAATATAGTGTTATTAAGCAGTATAGCTGCATAAGTGTTTACTGCATGTACAAGCAACATTTTAAAGCATGTTGTTTTCCAGGCCAAAATGCACAGAGAGGCTTTGCTCGGTGGCCCATCTTGCAGTGCAGTTCCCTGCGGAACAAAAGCATTGGCCTGCAAGATGACAGCCAAGCACAAAACCACTAAATATAGTTCCTTAGTTTTCAAAGAACACTCTACAGTAGGTTGGAAGTAAGGCCGTTTCCGAAACGGGCTTCCAGAGCTACCGCTAGGTCTATTGTCTACGCGTCTCAACGCATTTCCAATGGAGCGAAGACCTAAACCTAGCTCTAGACAAGAGATTCGGATGCAGCCAAGATGGCCTTTGTCGCGTGGAAGTCTTATGATGGCCCTTGTCAGGAAATAAATTAAAAGGCTGAGGTTTGGCTTTTTAACAAAGCAAAAGCAAAACAGTGTGTTTTCTATGAAACAACACAGTTCATCAGGCCGATAATCTTCACCTTAAAGTTCTTTGAAATGCAAATGACTGAGAATGTGTCTATTCCTCCTTGACGGGACGCCATTAACGCTTACCCCCAGCTAATACCATATATACCTAAGAGGCAAATGAGGGTAAAGTCGCTTGCTTAAGGACACAACATGCGGCCTGCAGCTGGATCTGAATCCCCGACCCTGTAACTACTAACTACAAACCTAAACCACTGATATACCCCCCTTGATATTATATACTAATTAGTTTTAAGGAAAATACCACCTCCTACTTTTTTACTGACACAGGCATTACTTTTGCAGTTCCATCTTCAATATTTTCATCTTCATATTTTTCTCTTTGAATAACTTTCATGTCAATTTGTGGTCATAATTTTTCTAAATATGCAAACAGACTCAAATCATCTGGTTCGGCTTGCCAACTCGGTAACGACTGAATGCGGAATGCACTGCTGCAATCGAGTCCATCACATAAAACTTCACCACAAGTCCTTTCACAAGACCAACACAAGATCCCCAGTCTGAATTCAAGTCACAGGCTATTTAACGGAACTGTAACAAAAACATTCCTTTGTCATTGTTCACCCTGTTACTTGTGACTAGTCTTGTGTCCCATGGTCTCATCTTATGATGGTCTCAACAACAACACTAGTCACGAGTCGTGGGCTGAACAATAATAGAACGCTATTGTCAAAGTCCATTTGAATGGCTTGTGATTTGGTTCAAGACTGGATGACTTCGAAAGAACCAACTACAACACAATTCAAACTTGGTGCCTTTACAGTATTAAAATTAATTTCACATGTCTACTGTTAATAGTGTGCATTACAAAACGGATGCCAATCAACTTGATACAAAACTGTTTTATATTCGGCCAAATGGACAAACAATAAATTAAAAATGCTCTAAAGTGTGCGTATGGATTGGTGTTCATTCAGACATGCACATAATTATAATAAAACTCGACGCAGGCACAGTAAAATTCGAACAAGCACTTGCTGCCCTTTCAAGGAAAAACGTGTCAGCAGGGCAAAGCCTACGCAAGCTTGAGAAAGAGTGGCGACTGATGAGCCTTGTGTCTCGCACTGTTGGCATGTTGCTCCGTCCTGGACTAGCATCAGTGCTGCATAGTCCACACGTGAAGCGATCAGAGAAGACATCACCTTTTAATGGCGAGGAGAATTTTGATGCTGAACATGTAAACCACATTATGCTCCTTGCACATTATTATGCACATTATGCACATTATTATGCACATTATGCACATTATTATGCACATAATTTTGCAAATTAGATGTGTGCAATACATGGCACAAGTTGGTGGCTTTCACCATGTGCCATTATGGATTAAGTGCAATAGAGGGATTTCACATTAGCGTTGTCTGGGCATATCCGCATCGAAACCGAGGCTCTCTGTGTTGAACTTCGTCGCAGGCACCCGCGGAGTCGACATAGTACATGCAGTATCCGGTTTGTAAGTGTGACGCCACTTCAGTTTAAACCACACCCACTACACATGCAGATAAACAACCATCGCAGGTACGTTGGTTTGTGGTAAACTGCCGTTATTTTCTTTTGACTTTAAGTATCAAGTCATGCTGAAAGACTCTTCCACAAAACTTTGCAGCCTGAAAAGTCTAACTTTAATAAACCTTTTTGTATTTTGTGTCTTGACTCCTTACTTTCAATCATCTGATCGCATTAAGAATTGAAGCTGACACAGCCTCGAATTCAGATGCGGAAGTGTTGTATTGGGATTCCGTTATTGTTCCCATGTGACATTTCATACTTTCACTGTCACTGAATTTGCATAATAAAAACTGCCCACCACGATGGTGCATCGTGCAAGCACGCTATGATGTTACAACACTCAGCTGTAGCCTACTTGTCACCAGTCAAGGAGGGCACAGGTATCCTTGGAAAGGATAAGTCTTCTAAAACACAACTCACCTAACTAGGGCTTTAAAAAATAATAAAACTCAAAGGTTATGAAATTTAACCTGTTCTTTAAAAAGTCCCCCTCGAAAAACCCAAGAATCTATGTTAGTGTCATGGTAAAACAATCTACTCTCCAAAATATATAAATAGAATCTCTAGATTGAAGCACGTCATGTGACAATATGTGACAATATGCAAGCGGTGCCCAAGATATTTCATACATTTAAGTATTTAAGAGGTACATGTCAACATGCCATTTTCTCCAATAAGTACGGAAAACTGAAGGCAGACAGCATCTTTGCAGCAATATTTAGCTTCTGTGCTTCTTTGAACTGTGTTTTGCCTTGTATATAAATGCAACGTGTACGGAGGGGTGAATTTATTTACACTTGTGTTCTCCAATGGCAGAGGTGTCGGACGAGACCCACTGAGTCGCCATAGACAAGTGCACATGTAAACAAAGTGTGACGTCATGCTTTAGGTCTTTTACAGGAAGTACAGTAACTCAAGGTTTTACCTTACAGGTTTACAGGATTTAAGAGGGTTCTGTGGGGTGTCCTGGTTAAAACCTTGAGTTGCCCCTTAATTAGTTTTCAGCTCTTCCCTAACCTTTGGTGCCAAGAACCAAAGACCTTCACCTTTCGGCTAATGAATGGGAATGCTAAACTGTTAAAATATAAGATACAAAACTTCTCCCGCTAAATAGCACCGTGGGTTGCTTCTTTGAGTTGTTTGGAAGCAATGCTGTTTGTTTTTCGGTGTCGTAAAGGTTGACAGGATTTTGTGAGGCATCTCTGGGTAACATCCTGAATTACCCCTTGTGCAATTGTGCGTCTTTTTGTTACTTGCTCAACTGGTATGACCTGTATTCATAATTCAGGTATTTTTCCTCCAATCAGCGACCTGACTGGGTAGGGTCTGTCTCAGGCCACTGTGACTAATTAGCCCAGGATTCGTGGTACTTTCCTCAACAGCCCATTTGAGATGAAGCACCCCTTCATCACTTGAAAAGAGCCACGTTGGTGGGGAGTGCCCATTTTGTTGGTAGTGATGCAACCACACCGCAAGCACTTAGTTGTTCGTGAACCAGAAAAATGCATTTCCCACCTAAAAGAGCCTCAATTGCTAGGAAGATTGCAAGAAAGGCTGACTCAAGAAATCGCTATCTCCCTGGAAGGGATTCCAGACTGTTGCCAATAATCACTCTCCAAGTAATACCTACTGTTGACGTGAAGAACTCGCACGACGTGCGCGTGAGCTCAGTGTCACTGAGGCTGTGACTGCAGTGGCATCT